CCCCAAAACCCCAAAACCCCAAAACCCCAAAACCCCAAAACCCCAAAACCCCAATCTTTAAAATATTATTTGAAATTAAGTTCTTTTGCCAACGAATCTTTCATAATCAATATCTGCCTGGCTCTGTTTGATGCCTGTGTCCTTTTTGATGATCTTCTTTCTCTGAGCCCTGAACATCTGAGGTCTTCCTTTGTATACTTTGACTTTGGAGCGTTTTATTTTGGCAAGTAATCTCTTGTCCCTAGCTTCTTTCTCTGCAAGAGCTGTTGGTTGAATTTTATCTGTTCTCTCTTTCTTCCTCTTCTTTCTGACTTCATTGAGAATAAACTCATATTTGATAGGATTTTCTTGTTGAAAATCCTTGTTGATGCCGATGACTGAAAGCAGCTCTAACTCGATGAGTCTAAGAGTGTCAATTATTGGTTTTGAATCATCTGGAGGCCTCCCTTTGCAGACTATATTATTAGAACAATGTAGTCACCTTTAGAATGGATATATTTGATCTTATCAGTCACTGTCTTAGACAGCTCCTTTGGCTCATCAAATTCGTATACCTCCCCTTGAGGCGTTTTATTTGATTTTGATATTGAGATTTTGAATCATTTGTTTCTCTCTTTTCTTCAGTGATTGCATAGCCTGCTCTACATCTTCAAGGTTTTTAGTAACAGTGGAGATCTCATCCAGTTTGTACCTTTCCTCCTCTTTGAGGGATTTTTGGAGCTCTTCCAGGTTATTATCATCTTCCTGAATCCTGTTCATCATGGCTAAGTTGCTCTCTTGGATCTCTGTGAGGATGTCCATGAGGTTGGAAGGTTTGTCAGACTGGAATTTCCCACCAGTTTTAGAGTTGAATGGAATCTCGAAACAACTCTCTTCTCTTTCCTTCTCTTTCTCTAGAACTTTTTCTTCTAGCTTTTTCTGCATTCGAATAGCATTGGATCTAGCTTCTATAAAGTTTAGGGAAAATTTACTCTCGATTTGTTGGCCCTGGGTGATGAACATGCCTGGAGACAGGATTGACGAGTTCCTATCTCTTCTGCTCCCTCTGTCACTATTTTTGTCAGGATATTCTAATAAATTTTTAGAAGATTTATTAATTTTGCTCTCAGTTTCATCATCTTCACTTTCTTTTTCAGACTCGTATTCGAGTTTAATTTTGGCAAAATCAGCTATGGAATTAAAGTACTATGCTTACCAATTTCCTTGATAAAGTTCTTGTTGGTTCTATGAACTTCTAACTGGTCTGCAATCTTGCCGGTTTCTAGCAAATTACATTCGAAATGTACCATATTTCTGCTGTATTTCGTCACTCAGTTTCTTAATAGTAGATTTGAGCTCATTACGATCTAAGGTTAACTTGTTGACATCTTTTTCAATTTCTTCAGCTTTGAAGCCAAGGTTTTCAATGTATTTATTTGTACCGCTGCTTGTCATCTTCAAAGGCTCGTTTTGACTCAGTGAGCTTCTCCTTCTCCATGAGAATGTATTCTGGAGGATGAGGGATAAACCTTACCTTCAAGCCGACGAGTCTCTTCAAGCTTGTCATGAATAGAAATTCCTTTCATTAAGATCTTCCTTGAGTTCATCACAAAATCCTGGCTGCTTTCTATATTTTCCTTCTTCTGTCGAATATGTTGCAAGGCTATTTTTCTGGCCTCAGGATTGGCAACGAAGGACTGTCAAGAGAACTGGGAGGCAAGCTCAGTATCTGACTCTATGGAGTTCTGGTCAAGCAACTTCTTCATTTTACTCTCCATCTGGTCTGGATTGTTAATAATGTCTAAAATTTGAGTATATTTGCCGAACCTGGATCGAATATGTCCAATTTGGCCTTATCAGACACATTAATTTTATACTTCAAGGCAGGAAGGCTGGAAGCATTTCGGGGCTTCTTAGTCAATTTTTTAGCTAATTTCTTAGATGGTTTGTCAGGCAAGGCTTTTAAATTCTTAATTTTTCTAATAATTCCTTCTCTATATGAGAAATATGAAGTCTGGCTTACCTCGTGGTCAATTTCTTATTTGAGTTGAGTCTGGCTGGCTGAGCCTACTCTTTTAAGACTGGCATGTAGGAGCAGCTCTTCAGTATTCTTTCCTAATTAAGGGTTAAGATTACTGAAAAGTTAGAATATTTACATGTTATAAAGGGGTTGCTGTCAACAAAGTTCTGTCTCTTGATCACAGCCTTTGCGTTCATCGCAGCTGGCTTCTCAAGTCCAAGAATTGGAAATTTGCACTTAGGCATTATCTGTAGCTGCGACTGATAGCCACTCCTTTTAGGCTGGTGGGCTGATCTGCTTAGTGGAGGTTTCATTATGAAATTATTTTGAAAATGATTTTATTTCAATATTATTAATTGAGAAAGGGGTTTTGGGGTTTTGGGGTTTTGGGGTTTTGGGG